TTCTCCACCCCGCACAACATGATCTACTCGACCACCATTATGGTTACCGCCAGAAAAAAAAACAGGGGTAAAAAAAAACCGGTAACCTGGTTGCCGAGTTCCCGAAGTGAATTGGCTTGTTTTACAACGTCGTTGCCAAGCGACGAAAACCCAACCCCGATGGCAAACACAGGGAGGGGGGGGGGGCATGTGTGTTGCTTCCTCTAATGGTTGATAAGAGGCCACGGGCAACGACTACGCGTCTCAGAATGAGCGGGGCTTAGCTGGTGCGTGGGGTGCTTGTTGCGATGCCCGCCTTTTCGGTGATTGTCCTCGCAAACTTGGCTTGTGTCAGACCCAGCCCAAACCCGACAATCCTGGCCCTCGCAATTTGTCAAATACTGTACTGGGCCCTATATAGTGCCAATTGAATAGTGCCGGTGCCCGGTATCGTGCCGGTAAAATCTCTGGACACATACAGCGCCATCAATAGTGCCGGACCGGCACTATTGAGGTCGGTCCCGCTATAGTGCCGATTTGGCATCACGGTGCCCTGCAATAGTGCCGATTCACCTACTCACACACCTAAGCAGAAACAGAGAGCACGGCCATCTCAGGGCCGACGAGAAAGAGCGTCCGGGAAGCGGCGGGGGGGGGGAAGAAACGGCCACCGGGCACTGCTGTAGAAGCGAGTAGGGCGGCCGAGGCAGCACTTGTGGCGAACGATGTACCCGGCTGATATTGTTGCGCCCTGTTTCCCTCCCTGCTGTATGCTCTACTCCCTTGTGTATGTCTTTTGTATTGCCTTCGGCTTCTGTGCTGCGTTATTTGTTTTTCACATCCTCCCTGCCTACTCTGCTGTGTTGGGTACCTTGATCTCGCTTTTGCTGTTGCTTTTGTTTTTTTTACATGTGGCCGTGTGCCCATCTGCCGCCTCTTTGTCATGTTTGCTCCGTTACTCCCATGCCGTGGTGCGTAGTGCCTGGTGCTGGTACGTTACCCTTTGATTTTTTCTTCAGCGGGTGTGGGAAGCTTCCTCCTTTATTTTTGTTTTTGTTTTATTTTTATCGGTCGGTGCGGTGCCTGTTATCTTCTTTTGATCATTTTGTTTTCTTTTTCCGAGTGGTTGGTACCCTATTTTTGTTTTGTTTCCCCGGCGGCATCGTATGTGCCGGGTTTTGAGACCACGGGCTCCCCATTTTTTGTGGACTATAGAGCTAATGTAAGAAACAACAACAACAACAACACACACTACACGGACCCCAACACAATACAAAACTGAGGGTACACGTGCTGCTGCAGACCCGAAGAGCTCAACGCAGAGGCGCACCATGCCTTGTGCGGACGGTGAACTGTGCCGCCATCAACAATACAGAACGCCACAAGCCCTACACGGCCGCGTCTGTCAGGGGGGATGTGGCGGGTGGCTCCACGGCAATTGCGGCAACATGTTTGAGGACGAAGACAAGCACCGCATCTGCAGCTCGTGCGTCGCCAAGGCTGGCAAGCGCAAAGCGGCACCAGCTGAGGGTGCTGGGGCGGAACCATCTAAACGCCCGGCGAAGAAGATGAACGGGGGGAGCAAGAAGGGCTCTCACGCGGGTTCTCGTGCGCGGCCGGACATCAATCGGAAGCTCGAGATCCTCAAGCTGCTGGATGCGAAGGTGTCTCACGCACAGATTGCAGACCACTTCAAGTGCTCTGTTCGGGTTTTTGGGACCGTGAAGGCTGGCCGGCAGAAGGTGGAGGAAGCAGCTGCTGCAGGCGGCGGCAACCAGAAAACCGCACGCAAGGGAGGTTTTCCGGAGGGCAGTGGCGATGAGAACCCGGGCCGCGAGCGCCGTGCCCCACCGGGTTATGAAGAACTGTTGTCTCAACTGGGCGTCCTGGAAGTGGCAGCAGAGGAGGGTGGCAACAGAGACGCGGCGTTATACCTGACGAAAGCGAAGATGTCCATGATCGCAGCGCACGCCCCTAAGCAAGGGCGCCACGCAGACATGCGAGAATTTGTCGTGACGGAGTGGGGGCAGCGGGTACAGTACAGCAGTTTGTCTTTCTTGCGGTGCGCTTCCTCTCGTGCATGTTTTGGTTTTTTTTTTTTTATGATTTTTCTTGCAATTTCGAACGAGGGCAACGAGGGCTGAGATTTAGCTTCGTTCACTACACATTAGTATTCAAGTTGTACGAGCGGGAGCGTTATTGACGCATTTGAAGGGTTGGTTCGCGCGACAGCTCAGGATGTGCAGTACGTGTGCTGGATGCGGGCAGAAAATAACGGTGCAACATGCGAGCAAGTTTTTTCACAGCCAACAGATGCTCTGTGTGTTCGACAGGGTGGCACCCACACGTGTCGCGATGAAGTTTGCTCACGGCCACGCTGAATACAATTTCACCAACTTGTATCCATTTCGTACCCTGTTGCGTGAGCGCCATAGCATGAAATCAAACACTCCCTCTATAGTGCCGGTCCGGCACTATTGAGGGATATTCGAAACCTCAATAGTGCCGAATCGGCACCATTGAGGCACTATTCTGATTAATGCCGGTGCCCTCAATAGTGCCGATATAATATCTGGACACATACCGGCACTATGGAGGGCCCAGTACTGTACCTGTACTGCTGTAGTTGGTGTGCGACTATCGAAGGAACTGCTTTAGAAGGACTCGACTTGTCAAAATACCACATTTTGATAGAGCATCAGGAAAATGATCAGCCGCTGCTCCGCCGCAGTCCAGTTCGGAAAGGGGCCAAGAAAAACATCTCAGTCGATATCTGACACATCGACGCGGACTGCACAATACTGGCAGTTGTTTTGTGAAGTGGTATATTGAGTCCACGCTGATGAGAGTCTGTTACTGGTGTCTTGGATAGTTTCCACAAGCCAGTGGTGCTTGATTCCTCCATGATACGCACGCACATACATTTTTATTTTGATCGGTTTCCGAGGGCTCTTTTCTCGAACGGTCGGTGCGGTAGCTGTTCTTTTCTATCATTTTGTTTTCTTTGTCCGAGTGGTTTGTACCCTACTTTTTGTTTTGTTTCCCCGCGGCGTCGTATGTGCTGGGTTTTGAGACCACGGGTTCCCCATTTTTTGTGGACTATAGATATAATGTGAGGAACAACAACAACAACATGACACGGCGTTGTCGTTTGCCGTATGGCACACTCTAATACAGAAGCAGCGGTTGTAGGTAGGCATCAAAGGTGCTTGCTCCCTTTGTGTTGCCCGGGACTCGCCCTGAGCGAACAGGAGGCAGCGGACGCCTCTCTTGCTATTTCTAGCGACGGGACTCGCTCACAGAAGAAAACCACTGCCTTCCTCCACGCTGCTGTTGCTCGCGCGCGCGGGGGGGGGGGGCTGCGGCTGGCAGGTACCTCGGGCGCTCCCTGAGCAAGAGACAGCAGATGTCCCGGTGGGCGCGCCGCCCGCTGCAGAGCGCTCAGGTCAATTACGCGGCGTGCGACGCCCTAGGTGAGTGTTGGGTGCCCTGGCTGCTATCGTGTGTTGCTCCTCGCCTGTTGCGTGCTGCGTTAATGTTCCTCGGCGGTTTCGGGCTAGTGCTGCTGATGACCGCGTGGGTCTTTGGCGCTGTGTTTGTCCTGCGGATTTTGCGTGATTGTAAGCGGCGTGTGCTAAAGGGTCCGTTCTTGGCAAGCGGGCATGTAACATATGTGCTCCGCCCGAGTCAGGTCGGCTCAGCTTCAGCACAACAGGTTGGCGCAAAGCTCGTTGGTTTTATCTTACCAGCTGCGGCTGCGGTCACTGCCCGTAGGCACCTACAAGTCGATGCTCGGTCGTATGAGCATGTGGTGGGCAGATTGCGTCGCGATCTTGGTTTTGGAACCCGAGCCCCATCCCGGGCGCTGCTGAGGTGTTGCTAACAACGAGCCGTCGTATCCATGCTATTATTTCAACTCCTCTTGGCGAATATATAACTCCCAACGACTACCCCCGCCCCCATTGTCAGCATCACCGCCTACTCTCTCCGGTGTTTTCTATTGTTTTTTCGTGCCAAGCAGTTGCGCTGAGGGTTTTCGATGCTCTCTTGCTCGCGATGGGGTCGGTGGATGTGCGCGAGCTTTGCACTACCTGGACACCCAGAAGTTACTCGTGAGTTGTCTTCTCCGGGTTCGGGTTCGGGTCCCGGTTCGGGTTGGGGCTAGATTCTGGTGAAAAGAGGGACGGGCGGCTCGTGTCTTCGGGCGTCTTGTTACTTCTGCTGCTGCCGTTACTTCGAAGACGCAGTAGGTATTCAGCCAAGACCCTGGGTCCAAAGAACCACTGTACCCCCCCCCCCCCCCCCCCCCCCCCCCCCCCCCCCCCCCCCCCCC